GGGGGGCATGCCTGCGTCAAATGTCCCCGACCTTTCAAACTCAAGGGGGGCATTCCACCTGAGGAATAGTGAGGGTGAAATAACATTCACAGTAAAGAACTACACTTGACAAAACAATCAGAACAATGGTTATCCAGAAATGGTAGTCCAGTCATAGATCTACCAGAATTCTCCAAATCTACAGAAAACACAGGAAAAAGGAAATGTGCCAGGGAGTCTGAATGAGTGCTCTATTTCTACCAGGCCTAGCTCTGATTTACTTGGACGTCGGTCATTCACTTTGCATCTATAGAGAAAAGAGTAACACTGACTCTCCGAACCTCCCTGAGGGAAAAAAACCAATCCTACGATGAGCCATGAACTTTACTTCAAGATAACTCACCAATTTTTGGCTTTTCAATTTCAGCTTTAGATTCAAAATGGGATTGATAGAAACGAACCTCTCTTTGCTTTCATAAATTTGACCAAAATTTTATATCCACATAATTATTTCGAAAAATGTGGGTATTTTTTAAATTTGACTCCTGGACGCGCCTCACACTCAAGGCATACTTGTTTTATTTGGTATTTTTATTACTTGCAGTTCAACTTTGTTGAGTTATGGCAAAATCCATAGACATGTATTCTAACGTACTTTTTTCATTTTATCTGCTTTGTACACGAATTCTGACTTTATGTCCACTGCCAATTATATAGATCTAGATCTAGATTTAATTAGTTCTTAGAGATGTGGACATTTTTATACGACATTAATTACAATAGGACCAACGGCATTGAAATGTTTTTTTACTTGTTTTTAACAACATCCCGATCTAAGAAAAATCTGCGGGGCTAAAGCCAGCCCCCCCCCCCCACGTTTTTTGCCATAATTTGAAGTTTTACAATCAGGTTTGATATTTCATTGATATTTCATGAAAACAATTCATTTGCGTTTTTAGTGGCCACATGTAGATTCTAGATCTATGTGTTCTGAAGCAAAAAATTACAGGATATTCTTTTACTTTCACTATGGTCTAATTCTAAGGTTTTGTAGGCCCTAAATGAATGTGTGATCTGCAGCAAAAATGACTAGATTACTAGATTCTAGATCTAAAGTAATCGTACGGGGTCGGGCAGCAGGTTTTTTTTATCTGTCGGGAACTGGAGCACACAAAAATCGTATGTTTTTAAATCTAGCCCCCAAAAAGTGGAAAACAAACCTAACGCAACCTCCCTTACTTTCGTTGAAACAACAGTTACGGCGATATTTTGCTAAAAATAGTCCTTAAGACAGCTTTTTCTTCATCAACTGAGCAAAACTGTAACATAAAATCCGTAGTTTCTCATCCTTCGGGCACATAAGATAATATGGTGCCAGTGGTTATATAATAAAGAATCAAGAATTTGTGCATAATTTAAAAATAATAGTAGAGTCAGATACAGCATATATTAGCTCAGTCAGACACCAGTGTAGTAGAGTCGGATACCAGTGTGTAATAGTCAGATATCAGTGTAGCAGAGTCAGATACCAGTGTAGTTTAGTGAGCCAGATGCCAGTGTAGTAGAGTCAGATACCACGTAGTACAGTGGGTCAGATACATACTCATTAACATTATAAATGGCGAAAACCACTTTAGACAAACTATCATTGTGTCCAAGTGTTGATAACAAACATTAAAAATCATGTTATTAAGCTTGCAAAGAAACAAATGTGATAGTAATTGAAAATGACCGGATGTCAAAATACTGCCCGAATCCATGAGAAAACAAAAAAAATGTGACTGAACACGTAAATAAATCGGGCGTCACTTTTGCACCCAGTAAGGGCCTCAAATATGAGAACAAGCTGAAACAGGTCATTTCTGGGGTCATCCAATCACAGGGCTTCCCGTAGCTGGTTTCGGTTTGTCTCTAGGGCAAGGCAGATAGGAGATATATAAAGCTTTAAAGTCGACGTGCCTGTTTTCGTCCTTATTTTGACCGAAAATTTTACCGAAGTGGCTAGCCGTACTTAAGTACGGCTAGATTGAGAGTCTAGCCGTACTTAAGTAGGCCTACGGCTAGACTGCCAGTCTAGCCGTACTTAGATCTAGGTTTGGCCCTATCGACTCAAGCCTGTTAAGTACACAGGTCTCATTAGTTCTAGATCTAGTTCTAGTAATTATTCAGGTTTAAATACATGCAAGTCAGTAAGGCACCTTTTGGTTTTGTCTGAAATACAAATACTTTAGGCATTGCAAACTAAAAATTTCATTTACAATTCAGCCATCAATATCAAGTTTGGCTAGCCTGAGTCTACCGTCCTTAAGTACGGCTAGCCTGGCTGTCTACCCGTACTTAACACATTACCTCGCCCGCGAATTCCCTTACGCGCTCCACCCTGACTCGCCCGGAACCACCCGCGCCGATCCAGCGTCTTTAGAAACGAAAGTCTCGCCTTGACGAGACTCTGTGGCCGGGATTTTGATTTGCATAGTATAGCAAAAAGTTTCTTCTTTCGTTTGATACCGAAACGAAATTTATCGGGCCAGTAGTTTTAGTATTAGAGCTGATCGAAGTGCGATCGCGTTACCGACACTTCGAAAGTGTCTCAACTTGTTGAAAAGCGACACAATTGAGTTCGAAAACGGAAATAACGATGGATTAGAGCAAAAACGAGCATGTGCCAAATCAGATGGCTCAGATTTTGATGAAAATGTAGGAAGAATTTGGGGCGATTCCGATTGATCAGACGGAGAAAATCTAGAATTTAGATCTAGGGCCCGACCGCGAGGCTGAGAGTGAGAGTGACGGGTCGGACACCCCGATTGAACTAAAGTTAGAACATTTCCAACAGTTTGCGCATACATAAAGTTATATTTTTCTGAAACTACATTCAGCTTTCTTTTTAACTTTTATTTTTTCAGGATTTTGGGAATTTTAAAAGTATTTTTAAAATGTGTTTTTTAAAGGCTTGTATTCATGGGAGGTGGGTTCTTTCCCCTTGCTTAGGATCTAGGAGTGGACTTCCCGTCCAGGCCCTTAGGGTGTAATGTGTTAAGTACGGCTAGACAAGAAGTCTAGCCGTACTTAGTCTAGCCGTACTCATCTTAGGACCTATTAACATTAGAAAACAGGAGGTTTAAAATACATGCACTGTCATTAAGGCACCTGGTTTCGTCTCAAATACAATACTTTAGGTACTGCACACTAAAAATGTAGAAAGTGGCTATTCTCACCCTCCCGGAAGTTCTCGCAAGATCAACTCCTCCCCTCTTCTCTCTCTCTCTGTCTCTTTCTGAATACTGTCTATCGGTGTGGAGGATCGAATTGACCATAACAAAGTTAAAAAATGATGTTAAAACCCAAAAGTAAATTAATTTGGTTGTCTACAAAGATGCTACGGCTATTTAACTTTTCGAATCGAGCCGAACTACGCCGTCACGCGGGTCGCCATTTTGTTTTGCCCGGAAATTCTCGCGCTACTCCTCTCTCTCTTTCTCTCTCTCTCTCCACTGCCCACAGACAAAATTGTACGCTTTTTAGTTTAGTAGGCTACAGTTGTAATGGAACGTTTGTTCACGGCACAGAATTCTACAATTTTTCTGTTATCACAGTCTAGAATTCTGTGGTTTAGGGTGAACGCAAAATTTGGTGAACGCGCACCGGGTGAGAGTAGCCACAAGACTCGCCTGCACTATTCTCACTCCGGGTGAGAATAGTTATAGAGGTGGCCAAAAATGTAGACTGCCACTAACTACTGACTACTGCCAGTCTAGCCGTCATTAAGTACAGCTAGCCTCTTCCAAATTTTACTCAAAAATAGAACCTGGCTGGATTGACCCCCAAAGCAGTAGGCTTCATCTGTGTGCAGGAGTGAAAATAAAACTTTACTGTCACGAACACCAGAAACCGGCGACGAGTAGCCGAAATGTTCAACGTAAGAGGGGAGTGGGCATCACATCATAGGAAACTGGGACAGCTTAGCGGACGCCACGTCAGCTACACCCCAACACTGTCGACACCAGAATTTTGGAGTTTCACATGAAATTGCCTTTTCATACAACTACAGAAATCATAAGCTATATTCTGCGTCGAATCACAGTTAATAAATTGTCCTATCAAGAGACAAAAAAATTATCAAGTGTTTGTAAGACACCAGAAACAGCTGTTGACATCATGTTTACCTTCGTCTCTTGTGTGTCTGTAACACGCTCTGACACCGGCGGAAGTGAACGAACAACTGGTGGGTGAAAGGGAAGCGAGCGAAGAGTGAAAGATGAAAAACAGAATTGTGCGGAACAAATATAATATAAAACGAGAATTTAACATTGACAAAATCTTTTAACTGAATTTATTTGAATTTCAGGGTTTTCACCACCCACTTTCAAATATATATTTTCCCCGGCTGAGCATGGTTTCTAAATATGCTGACTAAGCCCACACTGTGATTATGTGATTGCACAAACTAAAACACAAAAAAAGATTGATTTAAATTTAATTAGACCTGAATCTATCTCTACATAGTATGCTTCCAACAACAGCATTTTAAAAATAACTGGGTCTATTCAGATGAATTATTAGGAGGATAGGCCGAAAGCAGTTGATTGGAAAAAAGGAAACCTTGAAAAAGCAAAATACAGTGTAGGCCTACATGTATTATAAGAAAAGTATTCCGGGCTCATGTGTCGTTTTTCGTTTCATCCATCGTCTGACCCCAGTGAGGTCACGGCCTGCGACAAGTGCGACAGTGCGCATGACGGGCACTCGGGTGCAACCAAGTGGAGCCGATCTCGAACCTGCGACTGGGACAGCGAGCGGCTAGGCCAGGGTTGTGTGTGGAGCTGACTGATGTGGACGAGTGTAGCAGACGGCAGAGGTGGATTTACCGGCCCAGTGAGGTGAGAGGCAGCCCAGCCATTGCACGGCTCAGTGGACATACAACAGGATCGTAGCTCTGCACTCCACTAAGGTGCGCCTTTTCTGTGTGCTCATTCTGGATAGATCTTGATCATCCTTGGTTTTCTTCTCGATGGAGCTACCAATTTATTTGCAGCAGTAATTCTAGTTAGCCTACAGTTTTCCTTTTGTTTTTGCCTCCTGCTTCACCCATCCACCTCTGTGCAAGAACAGCCTACCTTACTTCGCAGTATGATAACAACGGCTTTCGCATCATAAAAAACGCTTCTCTGCTTTAATTTTGATGTCCTGTGTGATTTTTCGATTGTTCTGTGGATAGCTGAACAAAAAAAGCCAAAAGTATTGAGTTCATGCGTAGATCTCTAGAGATAGAGTCTAGATCTACCTCTCTAGTGAAGTGTAGCACCCAGCCTCCGGCCTCCTGGGATATGATTAGCCTAGGCCTAGTGAATAGCGCAGAGCATGAGATAAGATAGATTGAGTCTAGAATCCAGAGACCTTTCATTCCTCTCTATGCTCTATCTAGATATCTATTCTAGATTCTAGATCCAGAATCTAGCCCTTTTGTTATGAAAAACAATGAGTGCTGAAAGACCCAAGGAAATAAGGTTTTTGACTAGGCCTTTATCTTCTGAAACAAGACAACGCTCATCTTTTGAGGAGGGTCTGTCCAGATCAGGATTTTCAGGTGAGCTGCAAAATAATCATACTAATGGCTAATGACACAATGAGTGGTCTGCTCTAGATCTATTGATGTGGTAAACAATTGGGACTAGGGGGAGTCCAACTTCCCTGTCCAGAATATTGTGGTGTGTAGATCGGTGTGTAGTGTGTAATGACTAGGCTAATTTGTGAATGTAGGGACTGTTGTGTCAATGACAGGTTGATATTGATTATTGACACTTTTTGTGATGATGCTAGAGGGGGAAGGTGGAGAAGGTAATCTACCGTCTTCTTCATATTTTGAGTGGTGCTCAATTTAAAAGCCCTAACCTAGTTTGCTTGTCAACACAGAATAAATTGAGAATGTTTTGATAGAATCTACATTAAAAAAATTGATTAGGTCTAGGAGTGGGAGATTTGGAATTGTTTATAGGCTATGATTCTAGCTCTGAGTCTGAGACCATTAACTCTTTCACTACTGCGAGCCGTGTTTCATGGCTCTCCACTTTCTACTACTTGAAGACCAGTCCTGCTTTTTCTATATCTAGATCTAGAATCTAATCAAAACCAAAACCTCAGGCTGATGAATTATCATTTTTAGCAACACGTTGAGATATATGTCATTATTTCCACTTTATTTTAATATCTATCAATATTGAAAATTGAACTCAGCGGTCTTTAATTTGTCTGAGGGTAGGCAGAATCAGAAAGTAGGTCACTGATAGGACCTGGTCCAGGTGAGAAAAATCCGCTGGTAGTGAAAGTTGAACAGTTTGTCATTTTATTGTTAAACATAGAGCATGCTTTATGACGACTGTTTTGTTTTGGGTTTTTTTGGAAGGGGGGGGGGGAGGTTTGTCTTTGTTAAAGTTAAAAGGACTGCATTCTGTTTCATATTGCTAATACTAATAATTCTAGTTATTGGTGGGATATAATGTATGTGAGGCATGGTGGTGAATTGAGGTGCTTGTAAACAACAATGAAAGGGTAGCAATATTTCGACGGCATGCCGTCTGAAGATCGTAGTTCTGATATTTCCACGGCATGCTGTCTGAACATTGGAAGTGATACCTATACTGTATGCCGTCTTGAGTCTAAAGATCGGAATTGATACTTCGACGGCATAAGGCTATGCTTGAAGTGTATCAATACATACAAGAATTGTGTTTGTTTACCAGGCGACGAGTCGGGTGATCATCCCTACCCGACCCGACCTGATCCCATCCGCAAATGGGCACCCTACTGTTGGAAAAAAACAGTCTTCTCTCCATTTTGCTTGCACAAAATAAATTGTGTATCTCTCACTCTCGTTACAATGACACAAAACATTTAATCATTGTCCATAAAGCACAAAATGATAGCAAAGGATAAATATTGTTAACGAAACATACAGGTATCTTAAATTGTATCTACAATGCGTTACTTATGGAAAAGAGATGCTTAATTACAAATAGTCCGGATGTTCTGATTGGCTGAATTTATGTGCCGTGAAAATATCACTTCCGATTTTTCGACGGCTGCCGTACAAACCACTGGCATTGTTCTGGCCATTGGGCAGCCCAATTTTTCTGTGGATATTTTTTTTTTGTTTTGGATCCACACCTTTTATATGTCCGTTTAATTTGTAAACAACAACACATTTCTGTGTTAATTATTCTTTAAAACGTTGATTAAAGACCAAAAATGTGAGTTTTCAGTTTCCAAGGACTCTGAAAGCTGTCATGGAAGTCACCTAAACTTTGGTGGCCATTTTCTTGTTTTTATTTTACCTTTGACACCCGGTGACCCCCACCTCCGTACATTTGCAAATATTTCGACTTTTATTCAAGATTGATGGATAATTTTTTCTCCAAAAGCAAGGCAGATTCACAGGCTTTAAAAGAGAATTATACCAGTGACTCTATATGCCCCAAAATTGACGAGCGCCTGATTCCACAGCGCGGTGATGTGTTTGAGCCACTTGCCCAGACCTGTCATCAAACAAGAAGCAATTTGTTCATGTGACGAAATATCTTTGGATTTGATTGAAAAATTTCTCCGTATTCGTATTACCGGTATAATTATAACTCTTCTCTCCCTCACTTGGACTAAACGGGTGTATGGTTGGAGGGTGCCACTTGGAGGTTATTATATATCTTTTCTCTTAGTATCTGTTGCTTCTGTCTGTCTAGGCGTTGGTGGAAAAGTGGTTGGGCTACCGGACTCGTAATCGTGAGGTCGTGGTGTGGGTGGTCTAGTGGTTAGGCTACCGGACTCGTAATTGTGAGGTTGTCAGTGGTCTAGTGGTTAGGCTACCGGACTCGTAAATGTGAGGTTGTCGGTGGTCTAGTGGTTAGGCTACCGGACTCATAATTGTGAGGTTGTCAGTGGTCTAGTGGTTA